CCCAAAAAAAGCAATATTTGTCAATCTATTCAAATCTGAAAATAATGTGAAATGGTACGCGTTGCACAAAAAAAAATTAAAAACTATAACATGCCAACATTGTTGTCACATCACATCATTATGAATGTTTAAAAAAAAGTTTAGGCCTTTTTATTTAGGCTAATTTTATGTAAAAATGTCACACTGCATTGAGCATGTTGAGCATGTTGCAACATGGGATGTTGCACTCAGTTACAGTGCCGTGAAAAGGTTTTTGCCCCCTTCCTGGTTTTTTTTTTTTTTTTTTTAAATGGCTGTTTCTGAAGTAATTGTTTGTAGAGAGAGACGCGCAGACGCAGCACGCAGGTACACACAACTGTCATCTCTCTCTCTCTCGATCGATAATTCATTGAAATACATGCTATAATTCATTCAAATAAATGTGGTCTTACCGCACCTTTTCATCTCTGTGTATGATTTGAAGCGGCCAGAATGCTAGAGCTAACGTACCGCAACTGGGTCTATAACTTGGCAAATGACCATGGAATAAGTGGGATAATCAACAGCTAGCCGTGCATTAAAGGATTTTAAATGCACTTCGCGGAGGCAAGTCAGGTGGTTCTTTGCCTCCACGTCGTGCATTTAAAATCTTTTAATGCACGGCTAGCTGTTGATTATCCCTTACATATTACACAAAGATAATGCAAGTAAATACAAAATACAGTTTTTAAATAATTCATTTATTAAGGGAAAAAAGCTGTCCAAAAAGAACTGCAGGCTTCACTTGCCTCAATTAAGGTCAGTGTTCATGATTCAACAATAAGAAAGAGACTGGGGAAAAAATGGCATCCATGGGAGAGTTCCAAGGCAAAAGCCACTGCTGACCAAAAAGAACACAAAGGCTCGTCTCACATTTGCCAAAAAACATCTTGATTATTTCCAAGACTTTTGGGCAAATACTGTATTCTGTGGACTGATGAGATACATCTGATGCATCTGGCGTAAAACCAACACAGCATTTCATAAAAAGAACATCATATTAACAGTCAAACATGGTGGTGGTAGTGTGATGGTCTGGGGCTGCTTTGCATCTTCAGGACCTGGACGACTTGCCATAATTGATGGAAGCATGAATTCTGCGCTCTATCAGACAATCCTGAAGGAGAATGTCCGGCCGTCAGTTTGTGACCTCAAGCTCAAGCGCACTTGAGTTATGCAGCAGGACAATGATCCTAAACACACCAGCAAGTCCACCTCTGAATGGCTCAAGAAAAACCAAATGAAGGTTTTGGAGTGGCCAAGTCAAAGTCCGGACTTGAATCCGATTGAGACGCTGTGGCATGACCTTAAACAGTCCATTCATGCTCAAACCCTCCAATGTGGCTGAATTACAATTCAGCAAAGAAGAGTAGGCCAAAATTCCTCCACAGCGATGTGAAAGACTCATTGCCAGTTATCGCAAACGCTTGACTGCAGTTGTTGCTGCAAAGGGTGGCACAACCAGTTATTAGATTTAGGGGGCAATTACTTTTTCACGTAGTGCCAGGTAGGTTTGGACAGCTTTTTTCCCTTAATAAATTAAATCATCATTTCAAAACTGCATTTTGTATTTACTCAGGTTATCTTTCTGTAACATAAAAATTTGTTTGATGATCTAAATCTTTTAAGTATGACAAATATGCAAAAAATGTAAAAAACAGGAAGGGGACAAAAACCTTTTCAAAGCACTCTACACATTTTCAGGTCATCAAACAATCTAATACTGGATGAAGAGAATGAAAGTGAAGACGACAATATGCATTAATTGAAGAGAGTTTTCTAACAGCAGCTGGCACACTGCGAAACACTACCTGTCTAGTTAAAAGAGGACATTAGTGTCGGCTCACTGAATACAGTCAGACTTGATTACAGTCAATAAAAGCTGGTTTATTCTGCAGCCAGATGCACCAGACCGCTTGAAGTAAGAAAGGCCTTAGTACTAATACCCTTACAATTATTAGGGTTTGCTTAACTTAAGGCAGCTCAAACTGAGCACTGACCCTTAGCATCCATGTCAAGAGGCCAGCAGCAAACACATTACGCCAAATCCATCAGTGTGGAAAGTGTGAAATTGTGTTTGGGTGTCTTCTAGAGCTGTTCGTTCGATAAAAGTCGCATTTTTTATGACAGCTTAAAGAAAACAAAACATCTGCCTGTTTGTGGATGCAAAAATACATAAAATGTGTGAAATAAAATACACAACAAAAACGTTTTTTGTTTATAAAAAGGCACAATATAATACTTATCAGCTTTGCTCATAAATATAATAAATATTTTTATATTTTAAAAATAGTAAATAAATATTTAGACAATTGAAATTGTTCATTTAATAAAGCATTCAATAAAAGTCGTGTTAGCTAACAAAATATCTGTTTTTGGTTGTAGAAATACATGAAAACAGACGATAAGTGCATACTTAAAAATGCCAAAATATAATACAATACATGAGTTTTGCTTATCATTTGATAAATATTTTTATACTAAAAAAATACTAAGTGCACTATTAAAATGTAAATACATTTTATTTTTGTATAACTGAGATGCTGTTATTATGAATTATTTTTTATTTTTTATACTTCATTGCAAGCTTTAGTCATTTCGTTGCATGTTTTTGCCGTTTGTATTAGTTTTTGTTTTGTAGTTTTATATAGTATTTTTATTTCAGTTTTAACTTATTTTAGTTCAAAATTCCCAAATATACAAAATATATTTAAATATTTCTAATGTTTATAAATATTCATAATATATATATTTTTAAATACATAAGTAACTACATTTTATGTCTTTTGTTTTAATTAGTTATTTTACTACATCAGTTCAAACTAGAAGAAATGTTGGCTTTTTTATTTCACTTAACATTCATTTTATAATAAAAAATTTTTTGTTTTAATGAATTATAATAAACCTGTCAGTAATTGGCTGTTTTTGTTCTCTCCCTTAAATAAAGCTATTGAACCAAAAAATCTGACATCTGTAACTACAACCATCCCATCATCCACTGTGACTCCTTTGGGATTCTGTAATATCCGTCCCGCTGAATGTCTGCCTAATTAAGTGAGTGACCCTGTCTGCACCAAACAGAACTGTGTGTGTCCTGCCATCGATCCGGGACCCTCGGCAGCGTGGACGAACTGACCCGTCTGACCCAGAACATTGACTGACAGAACTGCAGTAAATTCGATTCGCACCTGCTTAAATCAGGCACAGGTTAAGAAATAGAATGATATATGAAGAGTGAATGGTGTTCAGTTCCTAGACACAACATGCAATAACTAATGTATTAGTTCATCTTGTCTTTTCAGGTCCTGTCGTAAATAAATCTGTCAAGGAAGTGTTAAAAATGCATTTTATTATGTATGCACACTTTATTGTGAAGTATTTTGGAGAATACAAACAGTGATTATATCGTAAACTATATATTATTTCTTCTGAAATTCTTTGTACATGAAGTCAGATTGATCAAGATCCAATGTCTTTTTAAAATTTCTTTGTGTGAACTAGGAGTTCAGTATTAGTTCCTTAAGATTCATAAAAAATAAAAATGCTGCTAAATTTGTGAGATTATTGGTAAATGTAGGAATTACTACATTTTTTAAACATATATTTTTTTTTTTTTACTTTTTATTTTAGATTTCTCAATTATTTGAAGCATGGAAAATTTTCACATTAATGTATATATGTGTGCATTTCGGATTTCTTTTATCCATCTTAACATTTCATTTATTTCATATTTGTATCAAAAGTTTAACATGTTGAAAGAAATAAAAATAAAATGACATTTTTAAAACAAAAATTTAAAAACTACATTTTTGTTGTTATATAGCTTCTGCTCATTTGATCTTAACATTTCATCTACTTGGGAGTTTAAAAATAAAAAATAAATTAAAATGCTGTATAAAGAGTTTAAAAACAAATGTTTAAAAAAGTTTATTTGTTATATTTGTTATTAAATAAATTCTGCTTATTTGATCCTCTTTACATTTCATTTACTTGTCATTTGGATCAAAAGTTTAACATTTAAAAAATAAAATTAAAATAAACAAAAGTTTAAAATAAAACAATTTGTTAGATAAGTTCTGTTTATTTGAAGTTGTAACATTGCATTTAATTGTTATTTTTCTTATCGAAAGTTTAAAATTCAGGAAAAATTCATTTTTATTTAAAATTTTTATTAAAATGTTAAAACAAAAGTTTAAAAACAGTTTATGTTGTTATCAGTTCTACTCAGTAGTTTCTTGTTTTGCCTTATTTGTTGTATAATTGAGTTAGTTGTTGTAAATTGTGCAAAAAAACCTGAATAGAATTGAGATTTCTCTGATCACTCTTGGTTGATAAAGGGGTCCTATTATGCTTTTTCACTTTTTAAATTTTAGTCAGTGTGTAGTGTGTATGTTTGGGCATAAAAAAGATCTAGAAAGTTACAAATCTCAAAGTCCACTCCAAGGGGAGATATTTCGTTTTTTAAAAATCCCTTTTCAAGAACTACAACGAACGGCTCGTTTGGACTACAGCGTTCGTTTTCCGGGCTTTGTGATATCACAAAGCGGCTCATTAGAATATCATTAAAAATTTTGTGCCAGGATGGGGAGAAAGGTATTTTAATAATGTAAATTATGTGAAAAATAATGCGTTTTTCGAACCACCAAGCATGAGAGCATGTTGTAGTACACCCCCAAAACAAAATCAAGACTTTGTAAAAGAGCATAATAGGACCCCTTTAACATTTCACTGATACTTGTATTGAAGGTTTAAATAATAATAATAATAATAATAATAATAAATATATATATATATATATATATATAAACTTTAAAACAAATGTTTACAAATAAAATTCATGTTATATCAGTTCTTCTCATCTCCACCATGCAAGTTTCTTATTTTGTCTCATTTTTTTGTATATATGTTACACATTTTGGAAAAAATAGACAATTGTGGTGGGAAAAAAAGAAAAGAAAAATAGAAACTTAAATTAAACCTACCGTCCATCCCTTGATAGGGCAAAACGGACCCCTTCTCTCTGGAAGGGCATCAGTTTTTCCCCTAGTTTCTGTGGAAGGAGTTGAAGTGCATCCTTGCCATGGAGAGAAACCCCATCTGGACCAGATCTGCCTTGACTTCTCATGGTTCTCATACTCTGTATATTAGAAATACATTCAAAAAGATTCATTAGTAAATGAGATGCATTGTGGTTTGCAGTTAAATAAATGATGCATGCATCATATTATAACGCTGCATTCACACTCACCAAGAGACGATCATTTCTGAAATCCTGCTGCCATGATTTGACATTTCGCGGCAATACAGTCAGTGGCGTCACAGATCGCACCGTGCGTCATATCCGCGCGACCAGTGGCTATTTGTTAGAAATAAAAATATGTATCTGCAGTCATAAAATAATGTATGTTAGTTTTATGTTATTGACAATATATTGACGTATAAGACATTTCATTGCATACTAACGGGAGGGTAAAAACAGACGCTTAATTAAGGGTGTTCGGTATCTTCAGATGTGTTTATTACATAAGTTACGGTGCCTCGGTGTTCTCATATTTATAAAACAGTCAAAAGTGTATTTTTAAACAAATATAGTAATATGTAAGAGCAAATGCCACTCACTGGGCTTCTTTCACCCTTGTGTAGATCTTAGAAATGTAAACAAAACCTAGAGCGAAGAAGAGTTGAAACAGAGCACTACTTCCGGTACGATAGTGTCACGTGACAAAAATATCTTCGCCACAAAAATCCAAAAGAAAAAGTTTATACTTACAATAAGCTATTACTTAAGCTATAAGCTATTAATTGTATAAATAAAATGTGTGCTATTATTAATATTTCGTTTATGAATTAGTTACATTTACATAAATGTGTACTACATACATACATGTGTTTTAATTTAATTAGACATATTATTTGCTTATTGTTTTCTATTTAAAATACCTTTTGTTTTTTAATAAGTAAAGTTCAATTAAATTTAAGTTAATTCCATTTTAAAGGTGCTTTAAGGTTTAGTGTTTTACTTATTAATTAAATAAAAATCATAAGAATATTATTCTTTTATTCTACAATAATTAGATTATTACATTATTTTTGTTTTTATTTAAAATAATTTTAAAGATCTTTGAATTCTTGAAAGCCTTTATATGAACAACAACTCTATTTAAAATGGCTATAAATCGAATGTTTTTAATCATTTTTTATAGCCATTAAAATTAATTTTAATTAATCGTTGTTGAATTATTGAGCCACGCTGCGCCCCCTGTAGGTATAATTTTGTTATTTCACCGCCTTCATTTTATTTTCCCTTCCAGGTGTTTGAGTGTTTTGTCTTCAATGCCGCTGACAGACCGACAGCTTTGACTTCAGCCTTTAGCAGCCATTAGACTCATTATTTCTCTTCATTCCTCCAAATATTTATACGTCTGTCTATCCTACAGGTAAGCTTACAGCATATTAACACCCGTAACCCTTAAATATCACGATTTTTTGGTGTAATTCCTGTCAATTAGAGTGATCTGGAAAGGTTGTATGAGTTTAAACTCATTTAGCTTTACCATGTGTGTTAGCACACCACAGTGTTTTAGTCTTCATTATGATTTTAAACCAAACATCAGCCTCAGATGACTGACAACATGTCTTTTTAGTCTCAAAGTGTGTTTTATAAACAGTCTGTGTGTTTTGCTTTTCATGTATTTGAAGTAAATGTGATAAATTATCTTGCATATCAGGGCAAGGAGAGATCAGACACATGAAGAGTAAATAAACATGCAGATGTATAAATCACAGATATGTTCATGCTTTCATGTGCTTTATTTATTATTATTTCGTCTAGCTGCAGAACTGATGTGTTTTTGTAGCTTTAGGGTTGATCTTTGTAGGTTGATGAAGCTCCAGGCTTCATTCATAAGGGCCTGTGCAGGTGATTAAACCACCAGGAGGAGACGTGTAAAGACAATAAGTGTGTTTTTGTTTTGGTATTAAGTGTTATATTTACGTTTGACACTTAATGAACTTGTTTATTTACAGCCTTTTTGAGGTTTTGCTTTGGAATTGCAATATATAGGTAACCATATTGTTGTTTTTAAAACCTGATATTAGACCTTTTCTCCAGGTTTATATGGCAGATTTCATATTGAGCAGTTATTAATATTTTTTTGCTCCATATTATAATGGCTACATACTGCGCAGTATATACACTGAAATACACTGATTTAGAGACTTACTTTTTTCAGTTTTCTATAGCAGATTTCAAACTTATTTTTTTAAATATTTTTTTACATTATAATCATTACATACTGCACAGTATATACACTGGAACATTGGTGTTTAACTAAATCTTGTAGTAAATTTCACAATCAGTTACAAAGAAACGTTGAACTAATCTTGAAATTTTGAAGTAGGAAGACTGAAATAGTAATTTTTGTTTTATAAAACCTACTTCAATAATCTTTTATTTACAACTTTGAATTATTATTATTTTTTTACTTTGTGCTTGAGTATTTTACACAAACACTGCACTCATTATGTAACAATAAACATGCAACCTTATTATCAATCAAAAAATGTTTTTATTTATTTATTTATTTTTTGGTAGTTCTCTTGCTGGTAAATTCAACCATGTTGAACACAGTATCAGTTTGGTGTGTTTTGTTTTATACTTTGTTTTTGCGCAAATTTATCAGATGATCCAGGTATTCAATCATACAAAAAATTTGCATACTATATGCAATATGCATACTATGAACTACAGGAATAGTCTGGTACAATGGTATTTTAAATGATTCCTAATTTTAAGATTGATGTTTCAATATTGAACACTTCTTTAAAAAAGTAAACTAAACAGTATAGATTTAAAGTATTTGAGAATAAAAAAATAAATAAAGATATACTAATTAAATTATCGGTATTGGCTGGAAATTTCTAGATCGTTGTGTGCCAATATCACACCTACGATCGAAATGTTTTGCCTTTTTTTTCCCTTTATTTCTACATTACTGAATTAATAATTGTGAATATTTTTATAGTAAAATGTATCTGATTTTAGGCTGCTTTTGATTATCCACATTTCCTAAATTGCATTTTTTGGTGTCATACTTCGTGAGATGCCTACCTTGGCTGCAGTTTTAGGCAAAACATCTCATGAGCTGCCTATCTATTCTAGACAGCTTTTTTTTTTGTGTCCTACAAACCTGAAAAAAAGGTGAGCTCCTTTCCTAGACTGCATTTATTGCACATCAAACCTAGTGAATTTTTTTTTTTTTTTTTACTTCAGGTTGCTTAAGCATTTGCTACATGAATAATTATAAATATTTTTTAGTAAAGTATGTTTGGTTTTGGGCTGCTTTTTTATTTTCACATTGTCCTTTTTTCCATCTTATGTCTTTGGCATGAAATTATCAAGTTTAGTCACCAAATGCTTTTTATCATTTCCGATTTAGATCAATTACAGTGACAGTTGGTCCTCTTTGTGTCCAGCTCAAGGTCACATCAGTGATATCACCGATATTATAATCTGCAATGTTTTGCATTTGCAGTCCATATCTTTAATTATTCAGATTTCCAGCAGCCCAACAATATATTTTTTATAACCTGTTTCTTGTACGTGAACTTAATTTTTCTTGTAAAGCGCTGACATGATGCATAGTCTCGCACTGGGGTTCTTTTTGACCTTGCGATTGTTCAGCTGTTGTTATTTTATTTATATATATTTTTAAACACTCATGCGGTGTATTGTTAGGCGTCCTGGTTTCCTGTGCCGCCGGCCTGTTTCTGTCACGCCGAATATTAATGTACGTGCGCGAGAGGCGCTGCGGTAAGGAATGATCCACGAGCTGCTGTTCGTACAAGCTCATCTGCATCACCACAGGAGGATTCTCACCTGCGCGCCCCCATCCCCCTTTCACCTGAGCATCACTTCATTTTGCAGCACCGCATTCGTTACAGACAATGAGTTGACTTCTATTTAATGATTTTTTTGCCTAGTAGGTGATTGTGCTCTCTGTTCAACCAATAATTGCCATTTTCGTTTACGAAATTAAACTAGTACACTGAAATGCAGTTGAAATGGTGTCTGATGGAGATCAAAATGAGTTTGTTTTATTTTTGCATGTCATTGTGAATGCTACCTGTTCACCATATGCACCCTGTTCACCCAATACGCACAGTGAATCTCGAACATGACCTTATGTGTTAAGAAGTACAACCAGTACTGTGATATGCAGCTGAAATGGTGTCCAAACTAGGTCAGAGGCATCTTGTTATGCTTTTGAGAAAATATTTGCTATTGTCTTGATTGTTGCCTGTTCACCTTGTGTGCCCTGTTCATCCAGTAAGTGCCATGAATGTAAAGCAGGATCCTTAATTGATTTAATATTGTGATTGGTTACATTAGCAATATGTAGAGATTGTTAGAGTTCGGACAAGAACTATTCATATGGTCTCTTGCTTTTTGGGGGAGGATTAAGGGGCATTTATACTGACTGGACACATTTTTGTGTTTAAGCTAGTCATTGTGCATCCAAAAGCAACAGAATGCAAGGTGTTGAGAGGCTTTTTTTTTTTTTTTTTTTTTTTTTTTCCCTTTTTTAA